CAAAAAAATATACGTATTTTGGAAATGTTGAGTCGAATTAGTCTAGAATCGATTAATTTTATGAAAGAAAACCTTTCAAACAGCCGTAGTCCGTAAACTATGATTCCTACAAAATTGATTCATAAAGAACGGAACGTATCTACCGTCTTATAGGGGGATCTACTGTATAGTGAAACAACCACATTCCATAACAAACAACAAATTAGCAAAACATTGAAAAGAGTTTTAAAATACTAATTAATCTCTTATGAACTAAAGTAAATAACTTCAATTTATATTATTATTTAAAATTTTAAAACTTCCCATTTTGATACAAAAATTGTTTTATTTATTTATTTTAAGAAAAACTGTTTCTTTTCAATTCATAAAACTCACCCTGCTCTTTGCAGAATCATACATATCTCCTTCAACTTTTTTGGCATAAGAGACTAGATTAATCATTCTCTTGTCTTGCAAAGCAGACTGATCAGGCATTGGAAATATTGCTTGAACTCTAAAGACAAACATTATAACCACATCATTATATTTTTATATTTATAGTATGTATTATTTTAATACCTATCTTAAAAATATTTTTGCAATAATAAGGATAAAAAATACACTTTTTAAAAAAATCATTTAAATTCTAAATACATTAAATAACAGCCTTACTTTTGATCTGAATTTCTGTCTAAAGAGTTTCTGTCTAATACATCTGGGATTGTTCTGTTAAGGAAAGCAGTGAGGATATCGATAAAGGGGACAATTCTTAACACAATAACAGATATTACAAAAGGGAGTTTATAATTTTTTAAATTAATTTTTACAGGAATTGAAAATGTTAGATCAATGAAACAAAAGATATAAAAATTTAACTAATTCATTGCATTCCAATTTTAATAATCACGTTCAATAATACTCTCCATTAATAATTTGAAATATTTAATTTAAATTCAAAATAATCATTAAAATTTCCTTATTTTGCTATTATATTATATAAACTTAAATGTTATTTAATGAATAAAATTTAATTTGAAAATGAACAAACAATATATCAGCATTTTGATTTCTATTATTTAAAAAAAAATTAAATTCAAGCTTATGTCAACTCTAACAAAAATATTGATGTAATATTTTAATGAATTACTATAGTTTTTGAAGTTAAAATCATTTCAAAATAAACTGAAACAGCTTTAACTTTTCAGTTAAGAAATAAATGTTTAAAACTAATATTTTCATATTATATAATTAATTTTACATTTTATAGAAAATCATAATTTGCATTCAATATTACTTCAATATTATAAATATATAAATTACACAAAGATATTGATTATATATATATATATATTTTGTAGTAACACATAATTGAAATTAAAAAATAAAGTTTAATTTAAGATTGTTTTATACTCATTTTTAATTATAATTAAACTCATATTTTATAATCTAGTACAGTGCTTCTCAAACTTTCAGTATTCCTGGATCAGTTTTCTTCATTCCAATCCCTTGTGGATCAGTATATTTTGTGAAATAAAAATAATTATAAAATGAAGAAAGCACAGTTCAAATGCAATTTTTTAATTTTAATTTTTAGACAATAAAAACAAAAAAACTTTGGTTATAATCATTTTGAAAAAATGGGTTTGTTGGGCATTATGTAATTTTTCAGGGCAATTTTGATTGCTGATCCACCTCTGACATTAAACATTTAAATAATCACAAAAAGTAATAAAACAACATTTTCTAAAAGACAGTTTTATTAATGTAATATATAAAATTATGAATTTTAAGTAAAATCTCACATCCCAGTAATAAACTGTTTAGGGACCAATGCTGATCTGTAGTTTGAGTAGCACAGATCTAGTATACAACAATATTTATTTTTTACACTTCTATCAGTGTTAATTTATACTGCCATAAAAAGTGACATGTAGCCATTTCCTCCAGATATATGTACTGTACATACATACATACCTAAAAGATTCTACTTCAGAAAATATATCTGGTAGGGTAATATAAAAAATAAACCAAACTTTTAATATAAATATTATTATTATGTTACAAGTATTTAAAGAAGACTACCATCAAAATAATGATATGCATCAAAATACTTCTGAAAAGTCACAAATTCAAATCAGTACATGAAAGAGAAAAAAATGCTGTGGTGATTGCACTCAAGAAGATAACACAGAACAGGCTACACAACTATTTTAATAAATGGTTGCCATTTTTAACAGATGTATGTAGATGCAGATGTTCATTTTGGTTAGTCTTCTATAAATATTTGTACTGTCAGTATAATAAAAATTATATTACAAATTTGGTTTATTTTTGACTCTACCAAGTATATATTTTAAGAGAGACAAAACATCAGAGGATTTATTCTTATTACAATTATATTGAAAAATTCAGTTATTTTTCATGTCTTATTGCTAGATCTATAATCAAGAAATAATCAGTCTAAACATATAAATCAGAAATAGCTCTTGAAAATGAATAGCAATACAAAAAAACTGTTTATTGTAGAAGAAATTTGATCTATAACTTAAATTTCTTTTCATTCTGTGTTCTAATAAGCTTTATTATAAAAACTAATGAACTCATCTTAATTTCAATTTTATATAAACATATTTATTATATTCTTCCTAATTTTTATACATCTAACAATAGACAGATCATCACTTGAAAAAGTCCCCAAAAATATATTTATTTTAAATTCTTAATATTTAAAAGCATATAAATATATATACAGACAATATAAAAAAAGTAAAAAAATAAAATGTTTTGAGTATTTGCAAATAGTTATCTTAAAATATCTATGGACAACAACTTCAATTTTAATAAGATGATTCTTTTTGTTGTCTTTATCTTATCACAAACATTGATTGTATCTAATAAAACCACAAACCATTATTTAACTGTTATTGAATAATTTTATAATCAATACTAATTTAAAATCATGCTTTTTGAAGTTAATTTTCAAAACATTTTCAATTTTAAAAATTGCAATAACAATATGAAAAAATAATCATCACCAATTTTCAGACTTGAGTAATACAGAGGTTGAATCAGTTAATACTGGAAAATTTCTTATGCAAATATGAACCAAATCATGTGGGCACATAAAAATCAGCCAACTTTCTGGAATATTAAAAATTTTTTTTAAATGCCAGGAGGAAAAACAATTAGGCCAATAAAAATAACAGCATGTTGGAAAGAGGAGCATCTGTGGACTTGGACTATCCAATGCCAAATATAGCCTTTTCAGGATAGTAAAAAAGTGAAAAAAAAACTGGCACACATAAATTGGAACTACATACTAAACACACAAATTCACACCTAAATGTTAATTCCAGCAGTAAATAAACAAAAATAAACTTTAATATTCAAACATTTTTGGCAGTCTTTCAGAGGCCCTTGTTGGGAAAAATGCATACAACCAAAAAAAAAAAACAGTTCTATCTTTTGAAAACTTTTAGTTTTCGAATATAGCTGTGTTCTAATTTTTAAACATTTAAACGCTTTTGAATACAAAGATTGTTACATATTACAATATATAAATAAATTGTTTTTTAACTATAAGCTATAAATAAATTCATTAATAATATAATATATTGTGTTGTAAAAGTTAGCCTGATGTCTTAATGTATAAACGATGTTTGATAAGGAAAATTGTTTCTTTTACATTGCCTACAGCTAAATGCATAATTACACGTCAAAAATTATTGTTATGCTTTGTGGTATTGTAAATAGTACTTCCACAATTGTGGAACTGGAATATAGTTGGAGTTAACGCAACCTCCCTTCATGCTCGCTATATAAAGTTTATTTTTGCTCATTTACTGCTGGAATTAGCATTTCGGTGTGAATTTGTGTATTTAGTAAAAAAGTGTTCAGAAAAAGTTCTCACATAAGTAAATCAAGTATAGGTAGTATTATTCAAAAGTGCAACTGGGTGCTTCAGGAAAACTATATGCCTCCTAAGAAACAGCAAAGATGTTATCCCAGCCAATCCATTCTTTAGAGAAGACCCAACAAATCCATGCCAGTATTCTCAAGAAGAATCCTGCTACACAAAGTAGTTTGTCCAAAAGACTGAAGCTTGTGAAAATATCACAAGCTACAGTGAAAGGGATTATTTATGAATATCTTAATCTTGAAAATGTGCACAAAACCAATGAATACACAAAAAGTTGTGCTCAATTTTCTAAAAAAAGGGGGGGCAACATGTAGCTCCAATCTTGTCAGGCAGTGCAGTGTGTTTTCTTCAAAGAATTCATGACAACTTGAATTGTGCTTATGGCAAACTTATATCATCCATGTGAAAATAAATGCAAATATCAATGCAGTCTACTTTCAGATCAAGATTATGGGACAGCANCAGATCACACCCCGCCATCTAGTGATGGCGTTAGAAGCATACATCGCACGAACTGGACGATTTAAGTAAGGGAACCTGAGAGTGGGGAATTCGGAGAAAGAGCCTAGAAAGAGCTAAAATCTCCATATTAACAAAGAAGAAGAAGAAGAAGAACAGTGCACACTCGGTAAGTATTCCTACAATTTTTTGTTTATAGCATAGTTTATACGGATTATTCCCAAAAAATTATACATGTTTTGGAAATGTTGAGTCGAATTAGTCTACAATCGATTAATTTTACGGAAGAAAACCTTTCAAACAGCCGTAGTCCATAAACTTCACACGTGTCGGGCTGCGATTGGCTCGCGTATTTAAGGATTCCTACAACGCAAAATTCGTATAACGAGGAACGTATCTTCACGTTATGGGGGGTCTACTGTATTTTTACTCAGAATCACATAAATCACATTTGAAAATTTAACATATTACAGCATCATCTGTAAATCATAACAAAAACCTTCATAATTATAATGGGAAAGTCGTTTTATGCCAACCACTGGCCTTGAATTGAAACTAGATAGCCCAATAATTCAATGTTAACTCACTTATAATTAAAATTTTTAAAAGGCAGGCAAATTTATGAAACAAAAATTAATGAGATTACTAAAAAAAATTTTAAATAAATTTAAATTTGATTATCTTTTCGAAATTTTTTCGAAAAGATAACATAACGGCCTGGCTAGATAACATCAACACCTGGTTTCACATGACAACAGCACAGTGCTAGACAGAGAACAATATCAAAATGAAGTCGCAACCGCCATTCGGCAGCATTAAAGAAGAAGAAGATTATCTTTCGTGCAAAACAACAAACAATTTCTATAGTTATGTTTTAGCACAAAAAAAATCCAGCAACGAATTGCTTAACTTTTCCAGCAACATTTAGTGGCACCATCTGTTATATTTTATTTTAAAAACTTGTATTTTTAAATTGTTATAATATGGCAAAAAACTTAATTTTGAAGGTAGGGATGGGTTTTTATAAAACATTGTAAATGCTGATAATGAGTAAAATCGTCATTAAGTCCAACCTTACTGACGTTACGACACGACCACCCCTTTATATCCAAATGTTCCCCTCCATTGACCCTTTA